TTAATGGTTTGGTCCCCGACCTGCTTAGTAGAGTTACATGTATGACGGCAAGGGCACCACCAGGGCATGAAAAGTAAATTTTATTTACAAAATTAGCTACAGGTCACAAGAAGTTAGACCTTGTTAGTTTCAACCTCTAACAGTCCTTAACATAACACTGGCTTTGCTGCTACTTCATGTGGTCAGCTTCCTACCTGGTTAGCATCACGACCGTTGACGATGGTGCTTTCTTCGGACCCCCTTCCTTCATCCAGCACGTCTATGTTGCCCATTGCAGCCGCAAGTACGAGTGTGAAACTGACTTTGAAGCAAACCTCCTGGGTGAACCTTCACTGAGTGAACAGGGTGGAGAAAGTGTGCAAAAAGGGGAACGCGCTCCAAATTCTCAGCTCATGGTAATCATGAATTTGAAGCCCAAGTCAAGACACTGTCCGTGCTAGCTAGGCCGAGGTCTACAGCACAATTGGTAAGGCTCCATTCAGTTTCATGCTCACTCACTCAGACGTAAAAATACCACTCTGAAACTGCATTCTCTTGGCCCTTTGAAAGACGACAATTATCCTTGACCGGGCGGTTAGGTTAGTACCGGTACAGTGTTTGTAGATGGATTATTATTTGCATACAGCGCACGGCTGGCCCCGTTATAAACGCGTACGCGTACGGACCTCTGCCCTGCTAGCAAGCTGGGGAGTGGACCGTAACTGGGTTTCGAAATCGGTCTGCTTTAACTCGTATCCCGTCAACTCGGTCCCACATACAGTACGTGATGCGTACAGGCCACATTCAGCCTGTTAATGTCTCACGCATTGAGCTTAAATAAGACCACGATGAATCTGGCGCAATTCTGGCTGTTTATGGTTCTCAAGCTCTCACACCCCACGCAACAAAACAATAAATAAGAAAAATTGAAGAAAAGAGGAACCCACGTGTGATTTCAAATCTCAGAATGATGATGATCCTTTACTCAAAAAAATGAGTAAAAGCGGTGGGAAATAAGTTGCTTCAGGTTATCCCCTCCACGAAAAAAAATGTTGGTTTAAAAACGAGAGAGAGAAAGGGATAGGTTGTTCTTATTTCCTTTCCTTCAAAAAGCGTATATTAAAAGAGCATAGCTAGCCTTACCCCTCTGAAAGGCCAGAAAATGTTACAGCAAAATATTTCCAATCCCCCCCCCCAAAAAAAAGTTTTCCCACACAAAAAAATGGTTCCGGATCCTCCCCCGAGTTTGCGGCACATGTACGTTGGCCTGATGCCGAGTTGACTCAATCTGTAATCGGGCCGAGTTGAACTACGCCCATTTAGTATTAGGCCAGGTAGGTACTGATAAGGCGACTGGGACAGAGTGACGTCACTCCCGGGACAGCGCTTTTGAGCCGCATAAAGTCCCCCCCCCGCTCCAGAGCTTTAAAGGCCACGTGTCCGTTGTTTGTTATGTTTGGTGAAATTGTATTTTTTTTTCACTAGAGACAATGCTGGATGCTTGGGAATCCAAGTTTGTTTAATACGTTTGTTCAAATTACTGTCCAAGTCAAAGAAATTAGCCATAATTTCTAGCGTTCCGCGCTAAAAACTATTTCACTCACGGTCGAGACATACTGTAGACTATTGCTACCTAACGCATCCCCCTAGAAGTCTGTAAAGAATTCCTGAGATTCCGATCAAACAATGACCAACACAAAGGCAGATCCCTTATCTTGCTTCAAATGACGAACTTAGCTGAAGCTGAGTAAATCCTAGCTGTTGAGTTTTTCCTTGATTAGATTGTTTCGTTTGCTCTGTTAGTTTGGTTTACGACGCTGAACTGTTCATTTTCACCACGACGTAATAATGTTGGGTCGTAGAGAGTCTATCAAAAACCGTTTGGTATTGTTGCTTGTTTGCTGAAGTGCTGCACTTTACCGATGCAATGAAGCGGCCGCGGATTCAGGGGTAAGGGGTCAGACACTCCCATGATCTGCCCCCCCCCTCAAAAAGATTAATGAAATATCAAGTACAGTGCAAAAACGACGTCCTCGTCATCCCATAAAAGATGTTATTGTACATCATGGACAATGAAATGCATTACCTATGTGCTGGGCGGATCCAGGGGGCCAACCCCCCCCTTCACTCTGAGACAAGAAAACAAAAACCCACAAAAAATTGGAAAATACTTTAAACAACAAACTAAAGCGTCCAAAAGTAAGTGCAGCAATACCATTGCAAACAATGTATGGCGTGTAATGTTTCATCATCGTTTCTGCTTGTCGGCAAAAATTAATAAGACATTAAAAAAATTCCCTGCCTGATCCCCCCTCCGAAAAAATTCCCGGATCCGCCCCTGGTGTGTCTGTCTGTCAGTAACAATCAGACATAAAAAGTCAGAGCTAGACGTTTTCGAACTTCCCAACAGCCAATCATTGGGAAAATATGATATTCCGAATATGCCGTTCTGACGTAAGATTCTACAGAAATATAATGCATATTTCAGATGTACGTCTGTTTCCTGTATCATGAACATCGCCTCCTTTATAGTGCCTTATGCTCCACCCCCCCCACACACATACGCATCTACTATTTTAAAAAAAAATCCATGGCCTGGAAGTTCATCCCCCGAACAATAATTCTACACCCCCACCCCTAATTTCCGGGACGGATTAATTTACTTTACTGCTTGATAAGAACGTGATCCCTTACAGGTGCACAGAAAAGGGCAGTTTTTATCTGCTTTAATTATTCGTCTGTGGCCTTGTGATCAACCCAATCCGAAGCATCTCAAATCAGGCCTTTATTGGTTCATGCTGAAGGGAAAACTATCCATGCCTTTTCTAGAGCGAAGTGCATTGTACAGAAGCATATATAGGACATGACTAAAAAAATCGTGCCTGCTATTTCGCCTGGGCGGGTTACTATTTCGCCCGGGCGGAATAGTATTTTGCCCGGGCGGATTAGTATTTCGCCGGGTGGATTAATATTTCGCCCGGGTGAAATAGTAACCCGCCCGGGCGAAATAGTAACCCGGCCGGGCAAAATAAATAATCCGGCTGGGCGAAATACTAATCCGCCCGGGCGAAATAGCAGGCATAAAGGGTTTTTTAGTCATGTCCTATATACGCTTCCGTAGTATTGTGTGTCGGGCAGTTTTAATGCACAATGCACACGTATCAAAATATGCTACACTGTGCAATCAAGGCGGATCTGCTTGACGGAAATTAATTTGGATCTGTGGGTCTTTACCATTGCGAGGGGCAACTGCAAACTGGTTTATTACGAGTCTAAGCTCACGAAATCCACCGTGCGATCGGCCCTGGCGTCATCAAGCCTACGATATTTTCGTTCGGTTTGATCAACAGTCACAACTTTTTCAACTGACTGCACACGATTTGTCCACGCCTTTATTTACTTCCGTCAACAAATGCGACAGAAAACACAGAACCCAAATTTAATGTTTTCCTTTTGGTCAATTTACAATTTCCTTAACTCATGAATTAACCATTTCCTCATAATATTATTATCATTATTACACTACAATATTATGATGCCCTAATTCCCATGGGCTCTAAAGCGTTTTCCAATATCAGTAAAAACGACACTCATATTAATACAGCTACAAATTAAGATAATTCCTTTAAAATGATGCATTTACATCAAAATACGAATAATTAATTAACAGATTTGGTAAAAAGATATGTTTTCAGGGATTTTTTTTCAAAAACCAACTGATGAGACCGACAACCTCACACCGATGGGGAGTGCGTTTCACAGAACTGGAGCCGCCTGTCTGAAAGACCTGTCTCCAAAACCTTTCCATTAGGTTCTTGGAACAGACTGAGGAACTGATCTGCGGAGCGCAGTGCCCGAGATGGTCGATACTGCTGGATTATTTAAATTCCACCCTTTGACAAACGGGTACCAATGATGTTGGGCTAAGATAGATGTAATATGTGCACGTCTCCTCGTTCTATTAGTAATTATTCTAGCAGCTGTATTTTTGACTCGTTGAAGCTGATTCACAAGGTCACCCCATATGCCATAGAAAAGGGCATTTGTATAGTCAAGCCTAGACACAACAGTGGCTTGAACACGGGCCCTACATGCATCATCACTAAGAAATCTCGTATTTTACTAATGTTACGGGCTGGTAATAACATCCGGGATATGTTACTAACATGCTTTTGCATATATCCAGGTTCCTGTCAAATAGGACGCCAAGGTTCCTGATTTTATCCGAGGGATAAACAGCACAATCGCCCACCATGAGCGACAATTCTTCACAAAGACCATTAACTTTCTTTGGACAAAAAAACCGACAAAAACTCAGTCATCATTTTTTTTTGAGACCGTTAATACTTAGTCAAGATTTCAACTCAAGCAAACATTCCTGAAACTTACTGATAGCAACAGCTAAATTGACAGGGAATGGTTTGACTATAACGTATTCCTGAAAATCACCTGCACAAAGATGATAAGAAAGACCACGCCTACTCAAAATGTGACCAACAGGCCTTTTCCTAAAACGGAGCCCTGAGGCACATGCTCAACTTCACTATTCAGTTAGGTTCTCCTAAATCTTTTCAAAGGCCTGGAAATGCACTTGACCGGATGATGAATCAGTCAAATAAATGTAAGATTATATTTGTCTTCCAGCTGATCTTCTCCCCCCAAAAATTAACAAACACAACAACAATATTAATGGCAGATCCAAGGGAGTCAACCGAGCCCCACCCCCACAATTTTATTTATCAAAATGATGATGATTATTATTCATCTATTTCACATTTCTTTTCTCCTCAAAGAGCGAGGAGCCCCTCCAGATCAATCTTCCTCTTCAGAGAGGTCGTAAGGGTTTAAATGAAACCCCAAACTGTCGGCGTCAACCCATTTCTGACACGCCCGAATAATAAGAAGTCCTATATCCTCGCAGCCGCCGGGGGCCCTCGATTGCAGGCCGTTTGTATATGGGCCAAAACTGAATAGAGAGAGGGCGCTATACTCGGCATCCAGGAGCTAACTGGACCGTTTTTAAGTCGGCTATTTCGAGGCTACGGCTTTGCCGTTATCCCCAGGTGTACTGCAGCAGAAAGTTGTAGCCGTAGATAACCATGCTTCACTGGAACATAATGGCTAGTCACTGAAGACACGATGGACTGTATCCTAGTTCATGCATTGTCAAATCGGGGAAAGGTAGGTGGGTGCAATTCGTAAAAACAATTACAATTTAAAGGCCAAATGCCTGTTGGGCTAGTACAATATCTGTGCATTAGCTCCATGTATATATCACTGTAGCACTGTTATGCAGATTTTAAAGTGGTGATTTACTGGGTAGGCCCTAGTCATGGTAGTTTTGTTTAGCATGGATGGATGGTTTAATCATGGAGGTAGAATCACATTCTACCTCCATGGTTTAATAGCCAAATGGCCCAGGTTGGAGTCGCAATGCAATGTAGACGTCGTCCGACCTGGGCTAGCCAAACCGGGTAAGCAGTGTATATTTCGTAGGCATAGCCTACATGTTGATGGTAGTCCTACTTACGAGGCTGACTACTGAGTACTAGCAGTAGGCATGGCCATGGACATTACATAGGCCTAGGCCTACATGTACATGGCCGGCCGGCCGTCCCACTCTAATGTTCGATTCGTAAACTGGGCTCTACGTATACTTCTTCCTCGATACTAAAGGAATATAACATAGGCCTATGTAGGGCCCTAAGTTTAGCCCAGGTTGGACGCCCAGGTCCTAAGTCTTGTGTATAAAACAACCAAAAGTTTTGTACAAATTTGATCTTGGTTTACCCTGTTGAAGAAACTAATTTCACGACTTAATTTATCCGTTCTCGGGTTACAAAGTGTGTGTGCCATAGAGATTAATAGTATTGGGGGCTGAGAGCCAAGTTGCATGTGCTTTTTGTATTTGTGCGCAGCTCGGAATCTCGTATGCCAAACAGTTGCGCACGCACACTGTAGGAACTGCGCTGGAGAACGGCTGAAAACAGTCCACAACAATGGCTAGAATTTATGTTACTTCCGCGTTTATTTTCCCGTTTTTGTCTTTTGTGGTAATGTGTTGAATTTCTTAACCCAATGCATATTGTGTGGCGTATGCTTTTCAAGAGTTGCTCCAACAAACTCGTTCTTCCAGTGTGTGAGTGTTTGCTGGAATGAATGCATATTTTTAAGCATTTGATAAGCTAAACTGGCCTTGTGAGCCAGACAGGAATTACAGTGTGCACGATGGGGCTTGTCGTTAAATGTCTCTTCAAGTGGTGGAGCTACAGTATGAACCTCATAGCTCTTTTGGTACATGTATCTTCCATCTATGTCTGTAGTAATAGGCACTTGGAAGAAAAAAATTGTGCATAAAGAAACAAGTAAATGAACATCATAAATGCAAAAATAATTTTGATTGCAGAGAGACTTCATCTAATGATCTGAAAAGGCGTAGCTTCTGACATGGCAACAGCCCCAAGCTCTGGGACCAGCTCAAGCGCTGGTACCTCGGGCTCCTCCACCCCTACCCCCAAGGACACCCTCACTAACGGCGACGTGAAGCCAGCTGGCGATTCCCTAGAAGATCTCCTGAACCAGATCGAGGATTATGCACCGACTGTAAGCATTAGGCCTCGTTTTTTACAGATCTGCCTGCCTGACTTTATGATCAGCCATCTTGAATTGAGAGTGAGGCAATCCCTCTAAACAAATTCCCAAAATTACAAGGCATTAAGGAATGAAGATGATGCATCAAGGGCATAATGGATCACCAGCCTTGTGCTGTGACGGGTAATTCCAAATTCCGGATAAATAGACAAGTCACCATTTTGGCTGAAACGAGAAGTATGTTTCAAAGTGAGGCAAAATAGCCAGGCACCTTCCCATGTCAGAGTGCTCAATAAATCAAAAGTATTCAGGGAGACGAATTTAAAATGGCTACCTCTTGAATAAAGCCCATTTGGAAAGATTTCAATATCACACCCTTACTGTCAAATTAAAGGTTAGTATTTAACAAATTTGAGGAAATAGCAAACAAACAGAAGTTACAAATAACACAACTAATGCTTACAGTTGAGCCTGTGTTGCTCATCCTTGCTTCTTATAATCTTGTTGCATCAAACCCAAGTTGATGCCCCATTAGAACAATATCTGCTCATGAGTTTTCCTGTGTTGGGGGTTGTCTTAATCTTCTCAGATCCCTGATGCTGTGACGAGTTTCTACCTCAACAGAGCTGGCTTCGAAGCCTCCGACCCCAGGGTGTGAGTGACAGCCCTCTCTTGTTGTTGGTTTTGCATGCCAGACCATCGCAAGGCCATTTGCCGGACAAGACACAGGACCATACACAAGACCCATCATCATCAGACCAGTCACAAATAACAGGGGTGCACAGTGACAAAGGAATGCTTAAATAGCTTGCGACTTGAATTCAGACCGGAGGCCTCGTGTTGGTCTTGTGATGGTCTTGCATTGGTCTTGCGTTGGTCTTGCAGGGTCTTGTGTTGGTCTTAAGCGGTCTGGATTACAACACTACTTATATGGTCAGATTTGTCAAACATCCAACATATTGTCAATCACCATGGACCCCTTGTTGGTCTGAAAACTCAAGCTGTATTCGCACATTCATAGAGTTTTGCTGGAAGTTTCCCTTCGGGGGAAACGCATGTACCCGTAACTTCCACTTTGTGTCACATCCCTGTCCAAGATTTTGTTCAAAACCCAGAAAGATTGGTACCATAGTTGTGCCTGAAGTGGCAAACAATATGTCCATTACATGTTAGTCTGCATTCAGTAGCCTACGCTCTGCACTGTTCATGGAGACGCAACTCTTTTATGATGCATATTGTCGGTGTTTTCACGAAGTGACGTAATCCCGGAAAATTGAAAAATTTTCGATTGGGAATTTTTCCTACCATTTTACTTCCTTTGATCGAAAGAACCAATAAGCAGAGTTTCAAAGCAAAATGTTGTTTACTTTCCTAGTAACTGTAAACAAACAACCAACAAAAAAGCTTGGTCTCTGTGTTTCTCTGTTTTCATGAAGTGACAAAAGGTCACATCGTTTGCAGGGCAAAAATATAGACGCTATACCCAATCCCTGCACGAGTCTACATGTGCAGACCTGTGGGCGAATGATGTTGTACATGAACACCTGCGCTCGTGATGGAATGGAACGAAATGTAAAATTTTTTTTTTAAACGCGTATTTTTTTCACAAAGGGACAAAAGTGTGTATAGTGCAATAGGAAAAAAATGAAGACCTGCGGGTTTTTCTGTTTTCACAAAGTGAAAAACACTTTTATTAGTTTTTATTAGTGCATTGTTCTTTAAGACAATGCATCTGCAAATAAGTATAGCTTAGCATTTTCCAAGTCTTAGATTTCATGACTTTGTAAAACATTCCTCAATCCGTAACATGAAATTGATCGTAAATTTGCGTTGAAAAGGCTTGTATTATCAAATGCAGATTGTCCGTTCAGCCCGATTTTTTAGGTTTTTGTCACTTCGCGAAAACACCGACGATATGTCCAAAAGTAGTAACATGGCTAGTGACTTTGGTTTGGTCTTGTTTGGTCTGGTCTTGTTTGGTCTGGTTTGGTTTGGTCTGATTTGGTTTGGTCTGGTTTGGTCTGGTTTGGTTTGGTTTGGTCTGGTTTGGTCTGGTTTGGTTTGGTCTGGTCTGGTC